AGTAGTGACAGTAAATCAGACAGCAGTAAGAGTAGTGACAGCAGTGAAAGTAGTGACAGCAGTGATAATGACAGTAGTGACAACAGTGACAGTAGTGACAACAGTGACAGCAAATCAGACAGCACTAAGAGTAGTGACAGCAGTGACAGCAGTGATAATGACAGCAGTGATAGTAGTGACAGCAAATCAGATAGCAATGACAGCAGTGATACTAGTGACAGCAAATCAGACAGCAGCAACAACAATGATAGCAGTGACAGTAGTGACAGCAGTGATAGTGACAGCAAATCAGACAGCAGTGACAGCAGTGATAGCAACAGTAGTGACAATAGTGATAGTGACAGCAAATCAGACAGCAGTGATAGCAGCAACAGCAGTGACAGCAAATCAGACAGCAGTAATAGCAGTGACAGCAGTGAGGGTAGTGACAGCAGTGATAATAGTGACAGCAGTGCTAGAAGTGACAGTAGTGATAGTAGTGACAGCAATGACAACAATGACAGTAGTGACAGCAGTGGTAGCAAATCAGACAGCAGTGACAGCAGTGAAAGTGACAAAAACGACAGCAGTGAAAGCAGTGACAATGCATCTGACAGCAGTGATGAGAGTGGCAGTCAGAGCAAGTCTGGCAATGGAAAGCGCACTGGAAGTGACAGCAGTGATAGTGACAGTGAAGGCAGTGATAGTAATCACTCAACCAGTGATGATTAGACCAAAGGAAGCCTGCCAATTTCCGTTGTGAAATTTTGGTGAGTTCTTAATAGGAAATAAAGATTTCCATGAAAGCAAAGGAGAGAAATAAACAAAAGACATGTGAAAGGTGAACGTCCACTGAAACACCTTGGGGAAGTCAAATGGTCAGATTTCAAGCAAAGTCCTAATTTCATCAGGGAGAGAATCTGGTGCATGAGGTTTGGTGGTACATGCATGATAAAATATATCCTGAAATATTTTGTTAAAAGTGTAAATCTAAGCCTAAAAGAACAAACAAAATATTCTTTAATACTTTACGTAGAAACCTCAGATCATCTTGTACCACAAGACAATTTCAGTTTAAATGCAGGGTGCTGTAGAGAATGTAGCAAGTAAACACATCTCATAAACTCCCATGGTGTCACCTCAGCCCCTCAGTGATAAGTGTTTTCTGGATAGATGATGTGCTTACTGCTCAGTAAAAGGTGCTGTTAGCATGCTATCCAGGTTGGCTACTGATTCATTTGCTTGTTTTAAGGAAAAAATAAATGAAATGTACAATATGCAAAGAATCAAAGCAACTATTTCATCTACCTGAACCTTGGCAATGATCTTTGTAATTACTGACTAGAACAATTATGAATTATGGAAATGCTAAAGAGTACTAGCCAGAAAAGACTTCAGAGATTGTTTGAATAACAACACCTGATGTTAACATTTCAGCAAACTACTGGTAATAAAAACTATAAAAATGAAGTCCATAAAATTAATGACAAAGCTGATTCAGTGCTTAGAACAGAGTCTTGCTTCCAGCAACCACTCCTGAAATATGAATAAATGTATGTATGATGACTGAATAACTCTTGGGGTGTGGTTCACTTTTTAAACTCTAAGGGCAGAACTTTGTTAACTGGCCTTAGTTATTTTTCTTCTATATCAGTTTCACCAAGTCAAACTAGGTTCACATTTCCCTTTTAAATCTCTACATGCCAAAATTGCCAAGAGATTCCCACCCCACAACGAATCATTTTTAAAAAGCAGAAAGTTGCTGATAGATAATATGTTGGAAAACTTCATATATATAGCAGAAGTCGTTCATATATATAACACAGGTATCCAGGTTTTGCATAAAGGAGGGTTATTCGGTTTGAAGATGAAGCGCAACATGAGAATATTAAAGATGTTTGAGACAAGAGAGTTATTTAATAGGTTAGATATTTACTATCTAGATACTTAATAAGAGAGTTATCATCCCAAATAGGATTTTTTGTGAATGCAAAAGGTGCTATGGGTAATAAGACAAGGACAGAGGTGTAAATTGGATTGTCCAGTGGAATCAGGAGGTCCATAATCATAAAACTGTAAGGTGTTTTTCTAGATTAATAGTGATAATTTGCAATTTCCATCTTTCTCAACTCAGGTCATTTAAAATTGTGTCTAATTCAAGGGTAAAAATCTATAGGGAAGTTCTGAATGCAACATCTTTAATTTTCAACCAGTCACTAGTTGACTATTTATATTCTAATATTAGGTATATTTTACAGAAAGATCTTTGGTAGGTTTTTCCCCCTGCCTCTTTCTTCTATTATTCAAACTTTTTAGTTATCAACACTACAAGTGGTGTTGCTGAAATTTTTTAAAACACTGCATAAACTGTTTGGTAAGTCATAATTCTATAACAATCTTAAGCTTATACTACATCAAAATCATGCAAATGACTCTAAACTTTCTTCCTTAAAATATGGTCTAGATTTTTCACCCCATTATGCTTTGGATTTTGTTGTTGTTGTTGTTGTTGTTTTAATTTGTAAAGTGGACTTCTAGTAACTTTCTCATCTACTTCAAAAGGTTATTGTGAGTTGTCAGGCAATGGATGTGAAACTGTAAAATGTATACGATATGTAAATGAAAGAGATAATGTTTCTTGGTGTTATAATAAATAT